GTACAGAGACCAGCCAGCTGCTTGCCCTACAGTGGGACAAAGCTATCTGCCTATGTGTATACCAGTGCTTCCTTTGGGAAGGAGGCTCTTGCCCGCCCAGGGAGGCCACGCTCTTCCTTGGTGCCCAGTGCCCTGCTCCCACACTCCCGTTTTGTTCTGTGTGTGGGTTCCCAGTATACTCCCTCAACAAGAGTCCTTGTCTCAGGCTTTGCTTCTACGGAACTGACCTGAGACACTTAACAAACACTAATGGATCAAAAGATGGCTTTGTCGCTAATCATTCTTTAGTCCGTGGAATGAAGTCCAAACCCTGTAGCCAGACTTTTGAACCCTTTAGTTCAGATCTTATGCTGATCTCTATCCCTTTCCTTCACTCACACCCAGCTGAGTCATCTTCCTTCCCGACTCCCCAGCAAATCTGGAGCTCTCTGACCTTTGTGATTCTGTGCTATTACTTGAGTTCAGCTCTCTGCTTGTCCTTACATGTTCCAAATAACTCCTAGCCCTCCAGACCAGCTTGGCAGCCTTGTCTTCCTCCAGACACTCCCGGACCACTTGGTCTAAAGCGATGTCGCACACAGGATCTACCTCCTGAACCTGCGTTCTGCTCTGTCTGGCCAAGGGCAGTTGGCTTTGACCAGTGCTTGGACTGGTGTCATCACTAACATTTTCAGTGCTTTTACCTGGACCGAGGGCTTCATATAGGCAGAGGCTGGCTCCAAACTGCCTTTAGAATCCACTCCTAATATGGGCTGGAATTCCTGGGACGAGAGGATGTGCTGCCTCTCAGTATCTGTTCATGACAGCATTTGGTAACCAGGCCCCAGGATGGAAGAGTTGGGGAATGGCCCGAGCTGCTCCACAGGTCTTGCCAGTGTCTCGCCCTTCAGCCTCTGTTGCCTTCACTTCCATGGAGCTGTCCTGCTCTCCCCAGAATCCCACCCAGCCGGCCCAGCCTCAGGAAAGTACCTACATCTTTGCAGTTTTCCGACTTGGAGAAGTGGATCAGGTCGTCATTGTACATGTCCTGGGTGTTGAGCAGGTCACTGTACTCCTTCTGGCTGAGGTCTTCTGGGTTAATCCCGTTGGCCCTGAGGAATTCCTGGTATGCAACGCTGAACGCCTGCCCTATGGACTGTGCAATCAGCTGGGCCTAGAACAGCAGCCAGAGCAGAAGATGGTGGTCAATGGCGGGACTGTGGGTGGATGCCGGTGTCCCTCCTGTCCCTACTACAATTCTCTTGGAGTCTGCGGGGACTGAGATGTCAGGTAGGCCAGAGGTTCTGCATCAGGGGCACCAGTGCCTTCTTGGAGCCATTTTCAAAATTACTGGGGACACTTCTGATTATGACAGTGATCCTAACAGTGTTACAGGCATTCAGCAGACAGGAGTCAGAGATGCTGGACATCCTGCTACACACAGGGCAGTCCCTCACCATGACAGGTTGTTCTGCATTGTGGGTGGTTTTCAAACATGCCACTGGATATTCACGTAATGTAACATCTGTTTCCAATCATTTGTGTCTAGGACTCATTGTGTGGCTTTGATAGACACTGAATGTTTAAAGAATAATACTGTATGAATCGAAGGAAGATGGTCCTTTGTATTTTATTTTATTTTGTCCTTTGTTTTATTTAGGACACTACCAGGAGTGAACTACTCTTCACAGAATCTGAGTTGCTAATACATCACATTGCTATGAGCTAGCACATTCACTGTGGCCATTCTGCTTGTTTCTATATTTACACTCTTATTTAGCCCTCAACTTGTAGAAAGTATTGACAATATTGCACAGAATACCATGTTCTCTTACAGCCAAATTTATTAATCAAGTAGATGTGAGCATCTATTACTAACCAGAATAGCCAAGAACAACTGAACACTCTCTGTGTGTTTATACTGTGCATCAGGACCCTGGTGTGAATCCTCATACCCCTCTAGGACAGGTGGTGTGTGGCTGGTCCACAACCTGAATCTGTATTTCAGAATTCAGAAGTGCGCAGATTCTATAAAGGTAACAGGGTGCATATTCTGGGCATTGTACACATACTGGACATTGTTCAATAACCCCTGGGGAGTGGTCCTACAAATTAACACAGTAACATTTCTGTTGCAAAATGTATCAGATTTATGATAGACTTTATGATAAATCTTATAAATTGCCTGGGGCAGGTCAAATCACATTTATCAGCCAGCTGACTGCAAAATCCTTGGGGTCTGTACTACTGTCCCATTGAGGAGATCAGAAAACAGATGTTGACAGATGAAGTTGTCACTGAGAAGGGGTGCGACTGGGGAAGGAATCCAGAGCCCCCTGCAGCTCACCATAAGATGGCCTCTCTATGAAATTCTGATGGGCAGGAGAACACAACCAGTACTTCCCTAGGGCAATGTTTAGGAAAACACACAATTTTAACCTTTATACGCGTTTCTCCACTTTCCCCAATTGTCAGTCGGAGCAACTTAACACCGACGCCAGAACTTTCTGTGTAGTTGACAACAGGAAAAGAAATGCTTCACTTCTCTCACTGAGAGAATCTGGTGACGTCAATGCCGAAAGTCACACCAAGCGCCAGCCCCTCCCTCCTGCTGTGAAAGTCCAGGGCCTCCTCCATCAGAGAGAAAAGCAGGGTTGCTCTGACTCCTGCCTTCCTGGTGGCAGGGCATCTATTGCAGCTAGGTAAGCAGTGGATGGAGAAAAATGGGCACTTCTCTCCTAGGTAGAGCAGGACTTCCTGCTCTGCAGGAGACTAAGATCTTCTTTCTCTGTGTGGGGAAAGTGACCACTGTTCATAGCGCCGACACGGCCCTCCCTGGGGAAGGAGCCGGGGGGCCCAGGCTGGGTAGGTGCTTGGGGGTGGCTGCCTCGCAGCGGTTCCGGGGACAACCCTGGACTAAGGCCAGATAAAAGAATAACGTCCGTTGTAGCAAAGCTCTTGAGTGTTGACCCTGTCACCTAGCAGACGAGGACTAGAATTACTGGACGGAGGAGCTGGCTTTACAAGCACTGGGGTCAGGTGGGTGGTGTGCCTACTGCTTGGCAGGGACAGGGAGGGACGCCAACTTTCCTGTAGCCCCCAGGACAGCTCCGAACACTGTGCTTTCCAAATGGCCCAGTGTGCAAGGGAGGCCCACTCAGGCCCTTACAATCCGGGGTCTGGTCGCTCTTCTTTCCCTTCCAACCTTTCCAGGAGGGAGGCCTCCTTTCCCTTCCCAAACAAACTGTCTCCGGGCCTTTGCACTTCCTTAGTCTTTGCCTTTGCTCCTTCCTTGCTCTCACTTTATTCA